AGAGCGACATGCAGATCGAAGAAACGCGAACGCTCATACATCGCCAACCCCAAATCCTTCCTGCACTCAGTTCCCCATCCACAACCTCACCCTATCTGAAGACAACCTTAATCTCCTTAGCCGGCTGCAACACAATATCCGCATGCATCCCCGGATCCGCCCCACCCATCTTATTCTCCACAGTCTGAAACCGCTGGAACAATCTGACAAGCGTATATCCCATCTCGGTAAGCGCAAACTGCTGGCCGATACAGATCCTAGGCCCGCCGTTGAACGGGACATAGGTCCACGTCTTCGGGTTCCAGTTGTCCCATCGATCGGGCGCGAAGACCGAGGGCGGAGGGAAGTCAGCAGACGTGGGCGGGTACAAGTCTTCGCGGCGCTGCATGACGAGAGTTGAGTAGCCGATTGGTGTGCCGGCGAGTATGCCGATGGGTTGCGTGCCGTCGGGTCCGCCGCCTACGGGAAGCGAGGTGTCTTTGAGCGCGAGACGGATGTTGTATGGGACGACGGGGTAGAGACGGAGGGTTTCGTTCAGGATGTGTTGGAGGTATTTCATGTTCTTCAAGTCTTCGTAGGTGGGTTGGCGCTCTGGACCGACTGTCTGGAGAATCTCCTGGCGTAGCTTGGCGAGTATGGTTGGATCGATGGATAGGTGGTAAATTACCCATGTTAGAGTGCACGCGGTTGTGTCGCGGCCTGCTAGGAGGACGGAGACGAGTTGGTCGCGGAGCATGTCTCGGTCGCGTGTGTATCCTGCGATCGCGTGGAGGAATGTGTAGCCTTCGTCATGGTTTGTCTTCTTCTCGAGTTCTTCTGGGGAGAGTGCGAGGGCGCGGTCGATGAAGGGGTTGACGAAGTCGTTGATGATCTTGATGGAGTCGTAGAAGCCCAAGTACTTGCGGGGGATAAGCCAGTTTAAAGGTCTACGTGGTGTTAGTAACAAGCTTGATGTGCTCAAGTAAGTCTACGTACCCAATCTTAGACACAAAGCTCTGTATACGCTGAGCGTTGTAGAAAGCATCTGCGAAGACGGTCTGTGGCTCGTCAAGACTGCCTACACTCTGACCCAGGAGAAAGTGTGTAGCGGCATCCAGAGTGTACCTGAACATCATATCAAGCGTATCGATCTCCTCACTCTCGGCGATCTTGGACATGAGGATTTGGGTGTGCTGTTCGAAGATATCGATGTCGCTGAGGCGGTCCTTGACGAATTGCGGTCGGATCAGCTGGCGTGAGTTGTGCCATAGTTGCCCGTCGGTAGTGAAGATACCTATGCGAAAGTCAGTAACCGTCCATCCATTTGGTCTGATGCGGCGTAGTTGCCCTAGGACCCCACTCTCTGGTGTACGTACCGTTGCCCAAGAAGGTGTGCCAGTCTTTCCTGAACTGCTCTCCCTTGCCGTAGTCCTTGAATTGTGTCGCAAGAATAGCCTTGATGTTCTCGGGGTCTGCGGTCAAAACCACGCGCTCGCCAACGCCAGCCTCAATTGTGTATCGTCCTGGACCGCACCACTTGTTGAACATGGCAACCCATAGCTCGTACGACTTGTCTTTCAGAGCATGGGTGACAACTTCGTATGCCATGTCAACACCATACGGGAAGTATGTCTTTCGGACTGGCGCTCGAGCGCCCAGCTTGCGGATTCGCGCATCGGTGTTGATCTGCTGGACGAGCCTGTAGCCGATGTACAGGACAACTGCGGCGCCGAGGAGATAGGGAGTCGAGAAATAGTTCGTCATGTCCGTGAGCTCGGTCGCGATTCGCGACTATGCGTCTAAGACGGATGGCGCTTCGCAGGGTATTAGCACCGCATATATGGTGGCATTCACATGGAAGAGAATGCGCTATGAACGCCGAGTGGACTACCGGCGGGTAATCGACCTACCCTAAAGTTCTGGGATCGACAAGAAAGCCGAGTTTTGACAGCTGCCTGGAGACGTGAAGAGCATTGGCGCCGCAATGCTAAACTTTCTTCATAGCACACGAGCTTGCTGCCTCCCGTCGTGGTGCAATCAGAGCGTCGTGTGCTCTTGGGACACCTCGGCTTGACATCTGAAAGCCCCCCGTGCCGCAAGACTCGCAATTTTCGACGTAAAGGGAGCAATGCTAAGGGCTCGCGTAGCTGTCGTGCGCTCATGCGCATCCCTGATGCCCTGCAAAAGCGGGGAAGGGCGATCGAGATAGCTGGACCATGTGGGGATGGTGGTAGCATCGTGGCCGCTCGGACGAATTCTGGAAGACTTGGGGTTCCGACCACCATGCTGTTGTCATAATGGACTGCATACAAAGCAGAAGACAGTATGTTCGTGACTGGCGAAGATTCAGTTCGTTGCTTGCGGGAAAACATGCGACGCGTATACCTCCTGTCATCTTGCCGCTGATCGCCCAATTTGCCGAGTCGGCTGCATCTTCCCGTAATCATCAACCCGGAGGCAACCCCAGAGGATCATGCGATGTGGAGGGCGTGGCTCAGGTGGCACATTACAGCTGCTTGGAGCTCAAGTCGGAGCTGATAAAGTTTCGTTCAAGAAGAGGCTGACAGCTGAACGCCCGCACGTCATCGTACCTTTTGCTCAAGTCCACGGTTTGCCCCACTTCAGGGTTAGCTCGCATTTGTCGAACTCTCCAGTCAAGGACCGCGATACTACCACAAGGTTACCACTTGCTTATCTCAGATCAAGTCTGTATACTCTATTGGCATCGATATATCATCAACTGTTGCAACTGCCGGGAATACCGCAGGAGCTTACGCTTCGAGAAACCATTCGGAGCATCCGGATCGGGCCTACATAGGTATAATGCCTTGCGCCAGTTTTCGCTCTTATACATAGATTACGATCCACCCGTCTCTTCTCTCCTATTCAACGATCTTTTGATTCTCCCAATCTTGATCTGATCTCTTTGCATCATGAAGCCTCGTACATGTACTACACTATCTCTTCTCATATCCTTAGTAGCAGCCATTTGGCCTGTACCTATCTCCCACGAATATGGCGATGCTGTTCTTTTCATTAGAGAAGATGTACCATTCTACTGGTATGAACCTGGCGCAAGAAATGTAGGCTCAATCATGGATCAGATCCCTCTTCTCTTCGGGTTCAATTCTAATCAAGTTCCATACGCACAGGACAGCAGCAACCTGAAATTGCGCACGCAATACACAGGACCGGTGCCTAGCGACAGATCCGAAACAGCTACCCGGGAAGGCATCACCAGCGACGACATTGTTGTTTACGCCATCAATTCTACATGGGCAACACTCTTCCAAACCAACTTTTACCCATGGAAGTTTCACCCTAGAGACTGGGATGAGCCGTCTCCAAGCCAGTCGAATACGTCATACATCTCTCGCATCGACGTCAAAGTGCTCAAAACCGCCGGCCCTAATGTTACCAAGCCACTTGCTGGGGAGGTTGACGAATCCTATAGTCTAACCTTGACAAAAGAGGGGGTTGCAAGCATCAGCGCAAACACCAGCGTAGGGATAGCAAGAGGCTTGACAACATTCTCTCAACTCTTCTATGCGCACTCCGATCAGCAGCATGTATACACCCCCTTGGCACCCGTGCAAATCACCGACGGTCCAAAATTCCAACACCGCGGCATCAACCTCGATGTGTCACGTAACTACTTCTCCACGGCGGACATCAAACGCCAGATCGACGCTGCCGCCTACAACAAGATGAACCGCTTCCACCTTCACGTGACAGACAGCCAGTCCTGGCCCTTGGAGATCCCCTCTATGCCCGAGCTATCCGCCAAGGGAGCATACCGACCCGATCTAGTCTACACAGCCGACGACTTCGCAATGATACAACGCTACGCTGCGATCCAAGGCGTGGAAATGATCACCGAAATCGACATGCCAGGCCACACCTCAAGCATCCACTACAGTATGCCAGAGCTAATAGCTGCGTTTGGCATACAGCCAGACTGGAACACATACGCCGCCTCTCCACCCTCTGGTACACTCAAACTAAACTCGCCCGCTGTCTACGATTTCCTAGAGAAGCTCTTCGATGATGTACTACCTAGAGTGTCTCCATACTCGACGTACTTCCACACTGGTGGTGATGAAGTGAACAAGAACGCGTATTTGTTTGATGACACGGTCAAAAGCAATGATTCGGCGGTTCTGCAACCGCTCATGCAGAAGTTTGTCGATCGGAACCATGACCAGGTACGCGCCATGGGACTCACACCTGTGGTGTGGGAAGAGATGCTGCTGGAATGGAACCTAACACTCGGCCCTGATGTACTCGTGCAATCGTGGCAGAGCGACGATGCAGTTGCACAGATAGTGTCAAAGGGACATAAAGCTATAGTTGGGAACTACAACTACTGGGTAAGCGGAACTCTTATCTCTCCATCCTACATGCTCCTTTCTTGTAGGATCTCGCGTGTACTAACAATACCCTAACAGTACCTCGACTGCGGCAAAGGCCAATGGCTGAACTTCTACCCCTCCGTCAGCGCGAACTACTACCCCTACCAAGACTACTGCGCCCCCTTCCACAACTGGCGACTAATCTACTCCTACGACCCGTTACACGGCGTCCCTGTCGAGAACCAGCATCTCGTCATCGGCGGCGAAGCGCACATGTGGGCCGAGCAAACCGATCCCGTTAATGTCGATAGGATGATCTGGCCCCGTGCTGCGGCGGCTGCGGAAGTACTATGGTCGGGTGCCAAGGACGAGATGGGTCAGAACAGGAGTCAGATTGATGCGGCGCCTCGGTTGAGCGAGATGAGAGAGAGGTTGGTGGCCAAGGGAATTGGGGCGGAGCCGATTCAGATGCCGTATTGTACTATGGAGGGGAATGTGTGTTCATTGGGTAATCTTGGTTAAGGTAGCATGTGGGGTGTGGAATCTTTGAGTGAGTATGGTAGTGGGTAGATATTGAGAACGTCGAGATGCATCATACATATTCCAATCTTTCTTACCCCAACGCCAGGCGCCCTACATGCCCTCATGTTCTTGGTGAATGGTATATCATCAGAATTCCATGGCATCGGCGCCTTCTTCTCTTTCCCTCTTCAGCGCTGGTTTGTCCTCGTCCACTAAGCCCGCGACAAACCGTCGGAAGTAGTCCACGTATGGCTTCAAGCTCGTCTTCTCCCAGTCCTGTATCTTCTTGTCGGTTTCTTCGCCTGACCAATCGTCGATCTCCTGGAGTAATTGCGTGACTGTTGGTACACTCAACGGATCGAAATCCTCCACGGTCCTTGTGTCGATTGGAACACAGACACGTCCTGTTCCGGGGTGAATTACGAATGGCGACTTGAGCAAATGGTTAAGTTTCTTGGAGACTTCGGCATCGAGGCGGGGGTATGTGTATTCTAGGATGATGTCTTGCTTGGCTTCGAGGAGGTCTTTGGGTGTCTTTGACAAGGCGCCAGATTTGGCTAACGCGTCAATGTCGGCCCATTTCGATGCGCTGGGGCGGGAGGGCGCAGAGTCCCACTTCTTCTTCAGTGCTGCTCTGAGCGTGGGGTCTGGGATGAGGTCGAGGAGGTGCGCGGACTTTTCTTCCGCGGCCCAGGGATCTTGTTCAGCGAGGATGGAGGTCTGGAAGTGCTCTTTCAGGATAGCCAGACTGCGCTCGAGATGAGGATGTAGAGGTCGTCGCGCGTTGACCTTCTTGCCGCCCTGGTCTCCTCCTTTGAGTAGTTCGAGATAGCCGGCTACGGAGCGGCGCTTTTGGTCGTCCATTTCTCGGGCTCGTTTGTCGCAGACCCAGGCGTGGGCTCCTCGACGACCGGAATACACCCAGAGGATATGTTTGAAGCCAAAGTCTTCCCGTAGAGCAACATCGATGGTCTTGATGGCCATTGTGATGAAGCCCCAGCACTTGAGACAGATGCTCGCACCCGTGCAACATGTTCTGATGTCGTCGTAATCCGTCATATCGATATCAAAGACCAGCTCTTTCATCAACGGGCGGAACGAGCTCGCTTTCCGCAGTGTTTTCCTATCTCTTGGGTTTGTGCTGTACATGGGACCGATTTCGAAACGTGAGGGCAGCATGTTTATGCATTGCTTCCGCAGGAGATCGGCTGTTGGGAAAGATTGGTATCGTAGGTATGCGTCGTTGGGTAGGGTGAAGGCGAATTCGCGGTGTGCAAAGTCGTTGCTGGGTGTTGCGGAATGGTTGAGCCATTGGAAGAGGGGACGGAAGGGGAACAGGCGTTGGTAGAATGCGCGCATGACGTCTGGGTCGGAGAAGGAGGATTTGGATGTGATCTTGCTGTATCGGTGTCAGCAAGCGCCATGAATGCATTATGTCGGTAGGTGGGGCGTACATTGGTGCGGGTTGCGAGGCGTCCTCCTGCGACCTAGGCACCGGCGCGCTCGAAGGAAACTCTTCGTCTGAATCTTCATCGTCGAAGAGCTCCTCGAGGTTTACCTTGGGCTTCTCTACCGCGGCGGCTGTGGGTGCGTCTTCCATTGCAACATCTTGCGTCTCCGGCTCGGGTTTGATAGCATCCGTTTGGGACACTGTCGCTGAGGACTCCTCTGCGGGCGTCGATTCCGGCGTAACTGAGTGCGGCATCTCGGAAGTCATGCGATTGGATTTGGAGGTATATGTCGTGAGGACGCGGATGCTGGGGGTGAAAGAGTTGGCCGACGCGTTCGCGTATAGTGGTCGCGGGCGCGTTTGGGCTGCAGGGATACCCCTGTCCACCGTCCCTCGTTCCTTCCCCATCCGTGTAAACATCGCTCGTCATATCGCGTCAAGTCGAGCAAACATTCTCCACATTGCTCAAACTTCACCTGGGCAGGGCATGAACTGCGACAGTACTCACAGTGCGGAAGATGGCGGAGGAGGATACTGTATCTGGAGAAGGGTGGATCTCAGATGATAGCAGTTTCTATGGTAAGTTTGAACAACTCAAGCTAATCCCATGATATGTGACTGACGGTGGATTTAGGTGACGAGGATGAAAAACAACACCAATCAAAAAAGTGTGAAAGCTTCAAGACCGGACCTTTCTGGCGCGCACATGCCAAAGACCTAAACACAATCGCGGCTGCCGCAAGAACACCAGCACCACCATCAGATGGAGCCGTGTCAGACAAGCAACCTGCGGCAAAGACTAACACCTTCGACATGTCGGGTATCGACCGCCAAGCTATGGAGCAGGAGCGATTAGCAAGACAAGGCAAGCGAAAGCGAGAGCCCTCACCTGTGTCAGCCTCGAAACTTGAATTGTTCAATCCTTTGGAAGGACAGGATGATGCGTGGCAGCTAGGCGAGCCTGTTGATGACTTTGTCAGGCGACTTCCTCCATACACAACCTCCATCTCTACATGTCCCTGGATCTGGGCTGCTAATCCGTATCGCAATCCTCGCGACAAGTCACCTTCGCCGCGCGTTCACGACTTTACATCGCGTGGCACGGAGTTACTTCAACAGTCGCTCCAGACCCGCCACGACATCCAGAATGAAGGCGCGAAGGGGCCTAGGGGCATGGTTACTAAACAGCTCCTCCAAGAGAGCAAAGCTCTACAAGAACGGATCTCGGACCTTGCAAAGGACACGCATGTTCTGTCCGGAAAGGTAAGTTCCATTAGCTGCCCGATCATTCACTTCTTCAAATCACTGACTGGTGTTAGTGGATGTTGTTCCCCAAAGCTGTGGAAGTTGCTCGGGTCTGGAAGCAAGTTGTCGCGAATGTGATCGATAATCGACTTGGATGTACCTGCAAGGTGGCCACAGACGACGGCAAGGACGAGCGACTAAGTAAGTTTGACGTACGACAGGTAGTGCACAACTACTGACGAAAAACCTCTCATAGTCTGTGTCTACACAAAGGACTTCCTGGACGCTGATGATGTACTGCGAGTACTCCATGAGCTTGAGACCATGGGTCTCATCAACATCGGCAGGACCATTTACTACAAACCAGACGCCTACACTTATCTGGATCTTAGACGAGAGACGGCTGCAGCATATGGACTCCAAGCTAGTCTTTACAACTCACGAACTCTGTTGGCAGCTAACAAAGTTCCAAAGTCATCCTCGTTTCCGCAGAAGAAGCAGTCGACGCTGAAGAAGTGAGGTTGGGTGTACATCGTTAGCTGCTACGCTGTTTGGGGACGGGGTCGTCAGGCATATTCAACCAACGAATCTCTCAAAGAAGCTACAGGTGTTGCTGGCCCTCTCTCATATGAAAAACAATCCCAGCTTACCAATATTCGTTGAAGCGCTTTGAGCTGATCTTCCCACTTGCCTGGTCGTTCTGAATGTGGCAGCCATTGCACCTCATACCAGGGAAAACTGAACAGGTCTGCAGACTACATTGACCCAAAACCTTGCAAAGGAGGCGACCCAAAGTCAACGTAGGCTCCAGGCTGTTCAGTTTTTCCCTAGGTTGGCGTGATTGCATAAATATTACAGACACCATTCACAGACGAACAAGTACGCGTCAGACATGCAGTCATGCCTGTCGACGCTGATCACCGAGCCGCTGTCGGACGCAGCAGCCCGTTTGACATGCCGGCTAGGACCATTGCGTACCATGCTGAGCAACACGCCTTAAATCACCCGGGCAAACGTAAGCAAAACTTGTCTTCGGCGTTGAAGCGCAGCTGCAAGGTCTTTACCGCTACACTGAGCTGCCCGTAGGCGCATGCAGCCAATGTAGAGGCAGTTCGGCCCATCGTGCCTGCAGAGCCTGCCGGCCGCCAGAGCAAGTCGAGAGTAGCTATCGTCTTTGCGACGTCCGTCGTGTTGGCGCGCTACTGAAAATTCCAGAATCCGAGAGGCGTCGAGTTTCCGTTACTCGATAGTTACCCTGAGGACAGGGCTTCAGTGCCGTAGTTCGCCGCTTGCAATAGACGACTTCCACCGACGATCATAGCACGATAGAACATCGGAAACCCCCGAAACCACAGCATAGCCGTCTCTTCATATCTATACATATCCTCGCATTTCGGGGTCTCAGTAAAATGTCCAGGTGTAGTCGCGCTTGCTGGGACGAGGTAGGTAGAAGAATGGCACCAGCATGACCCGGGCGCGTTCGGGTTCTCGGTTGACAATATGGCTGTCGGCCAGCCCCGAACAGTCAAGGCGTTCGCATGGGTCTAGTCTGCGGCTCGCCTCAGTCTTCGGCGCATCGTATTTCCTTTACTCGATTTCTATCGAGTAATGGGAAGGTCGTGTTGGGAGGTACGCTGGCTGACATATGCTTAGCTTCTCCGATGGAATCGGGCCTTACTCCGATGTCTTCGAACTCGCACCTTCTATGCCAACGAGCAGTCCACAAGAAGAGTGTGTTTCTATCTTCAATCCTTACGCGAACTGTAAAGAAAGCAGTGAATAAAAACCACAGAGGCCCTGGGTCTGAGATTCTAGAAGTATGACGCTCCGCCGTTGACCCTGCGCTAGTCTGAGGGCTCTAATCGCGCGATCTACTGTGCGCCTATCGCGTGCAGCAATACCCTTGCAGCTGCTTATCAGTAACACATGCACGTCCCCCAACACCATCCACAACGTGCAGCAACACGTTTAGGAAGTTTACCGATACCAACGCTCTTCCCAATCTTCGAGGAATCAACCTTCGAGAAATGATGACGGAGAAACAGCTCATAATGCGCGCCCAACCTAGACAGCCAAAATCTCGCATGTTCGATCTTGGAGTAGCACACAGTATCAGGGCGAATAGCCTCGTATCTACACTAAATCGGCCAACGGGAGACAGGGTCGAGATGCATGGCTAAGGCGGCCGCGATAGACTACCTCCACCCTAGTTACTCGATAGAATCGAGCAACGTGTATTCCAGGGTTCGCCGATGCTCCACAGTCCCCTGACGCCATGTTAGCTGACCCAGATTCTGGCTACAATGCCCCGAGAGGATCTTTGGGCTGGCCCATACCAACGGGTAGATAAGGACCTGTACCCCAGGTTTTGGCGTTTTTGATAACGACTTACTGAGCGCATCTCTTCTCTCAAGCGTCTTCTCTGTTTGAAAGTACTGCTTTGCCAAATTTCAGCAAGATACAGACTGCATTCCTCTTTGACATCTGTTAGGCGCAACACCAAACGTGCCTTATCAACGCTTATCTGCAGCTCACCCGGAGACGCCCACCTTCTTCCCCGCGTTTGCCGAGTTCGGGGCTTGTTGCTGTATATAGCTCTTGCTGTTAGCACGGAGCTGAGCACCTTCAGACTTCTTTGCGCACTCTTTTCTTGTCCGTGTCTTCTCACAGTCGATTACATTTCCATTTTCCAACTTGGCATCATGGCACCCCACGCAACCACGCCTCCACCCGTCTCCCACGAGCAACCCATTCAATCCATCACAGTTCTTGCCTCATCAAGAGCAGTTGTTGCTGGTCGGTTGACTGAGGCTACTATCGTTGTATCAAACCTCACAGGGAAGATCACTTCCATCTTCCACTCAGTACTTCCTCCTACAGACTTCCCTGAAGGCACACCATACACCGACTACTCGCCACACATCTTACTACCTGGTCTTGTCGATGCCCATGTTCACCTCAACGAGCCTGGTCGGACGGAGTGGGAAGGTTTCTGGACTGGCACCCGAGCTGCGGCGTTCGGTGGTGTCACAACTGTCATTGACATGCCCTTGAACGCTATCCCCCCTACGACTACTGTCGAAAACCTCAAGATCAAATGCGAAGCATCACAAGGAAAGTGCTGGGTGGATGTCGGCTTCTATGGCGGCATCATTCCTGGTAACTCAGGAGACCTCAAGGCTTTAGTCAAGGAGGGTGTTCGGGGCTTCAAGGGTTTCCTGTGTGACAGTGGAGTGAGTATTTCTATCTCAGCACTCTAGCACGTGACACTAACCACTCTCCAGGTTGACGAATTTCCCGCCGTCTCATCCCTTGATATCGAAAAGGCGCTCCTAGAACTCAAAGACTCCACTACGACACTAATGTTCCACGCCGAAATGATCCCACCCATCACCGACTCCGTGGGCGACGACGTGCAACAATCCCTTCCTCCACTCGCCCCCAAAGGCCCATTAACTTCGTACGATACATTCCTTCAATCCCGCCCACCATCCTTCGAAACCTGCGCGGTAGCCGAAATCCTCTCGCTAGCCCATCTCGCCCCGGACCTGCAACTCCACATCGTGCACCTCTCTGCCATAGAAGCCATCCCCATGCTACGTAAAGCGCGCGCCGACGGCATCAAAATCACAGCAGAAACCTGTTTCCACTACCTCGCCCTCGCATCAGAAGGTATTCAAGAAGGCGACACGAGACATAAATGCTGCCCACCCATCCGCTCCCAATCCAACCAAGACGGCCTCTGGGAAGAACTGCTTCAAGACACAGCCGATGGCGTGATTCAAACAGTCGTCTCAGACCACTCGCCTTGCACGCCTGAGATCAAACTCTTACCCCCGCATCTGGCGCCTAAGAAGACGGGTGAGAGCAGCAAGACCGAAGTCCAAGGACCAGAAGGAAAAGGCGATTTCTTCAGCGCTTGGGGCGGCATCTCGAGCGTGGGCCTCGGTCTACCTATCCTGTGGACCGAAGGCACGAAGCGCAATCCCGACTTCAGCGTCGAGGAAATCGTACGCTGGTGC